TGGTATATATATAAATTTGTAAGGTAAGTGTCATTAACAGTAGTAACCAATGTATCATCCAATAGAATCCCGAGCTCGAGTCGGCCTCCATTCTTCTTCTTCCTCATGGAATAGACATGTCATTCCTCATCCGAAGTTGGCTAACATGATCAGTGGATTGGTCTAAAGTGTGTCGGGCATGTGTAAGTTGTTGAACATTAGAAGCAACTACTTATTGTACCAGCTGATCTTTTATCAAATCGAAGGAGCACTCTCGTGTGTCTTGGCATGTAAGTGGGTATTCTTCAATAATAATGAGTGGTATAAGCACATTTGGATTTGTACATGTAGTATGGTGCTTTCCATCTGGAACTGCGGTATTGGAAAGAGGATCGGTTGCACCTTCTTAGCAAGGATAGTAGGTGGTTGATCTTTAGCGATATTTGACCTTAGATGAGGATGCAAGCGATAGCAAATAGTAAAACTGTGGCGAAACATACTACAATGAGAGCAATAAGGAGGGTGTGGTTCTACTTCAACATTTTTTCAATACTCGTTGTGAGTGGTGTCAATCCATACATCATCCGGAGCTGGTTGAGTGATATCTCTCTCAACTAACACACAAGCCACAAAGGGTCTAGTGACACCAAGCGTGGCACTATCAACCTTAAGAGGCTTATCGTAAGCAGTTGCTAAAGAGTAGAGAATTTTCAAGTTGAACAGATATAATTTTAACCTCGAAAACTTTATCTAAACAGGAATGATAAGGGACTCCATTTTTCGGATATGGGTCTCCATTTTTCGGTCAAAATCGACAGTCCACTTCAGAATTTTCATAAAATGGTTGTTGATCTTGATAATTTTTCAAGAAAAAATGCAAGTGTAACCGACATCGTGAGATAACTTAATAAGTATATGTCAACCGTCAAGTAATCCAATATTTCAACTGCCCGATAGCTTCATAGTATCAAACTCTTTCTGATCTCCAGTTTTAGGTGCAATAAAGGAATTTCCTCATTAGAGTAAAACACAAAGAAGACGCGAGAGTGCTGGTTTCAATCTTAGTGAAAATAAGAGCAAACTTCCCAATTTTTTGCCAAGCGTTTTAATAAAAATGTGATCACCACCACCTTCAATAGCGTCGTGGAAAGATTGAGGAACATTGCAGGACTTGCCAATATGAAAATCAGGCTCAGAATTTGAAAGAGGAGCACGAGCGAGAATAGAAAATTCGTCGGCAAGTGCATTGGCATAGAAATGCATCGTCGAGGTCATCTCCAAAACAGCTATGCGAGCCGCTAGAAAAAGGCGAGCTGACATGAGTTCTACACCTCTGTCGAGAGCAGAGGAGTCCTAGCTGCGAGCTGCTGTTAGACCTGTCACGATGTGCGAAAGAGGCCCTATTTCTTCGATTGCTTCTGAATCATATGCGACTGACAAGAGCTAGGGTAAGGCGATTCCATGGCATTTGTCGCACACCTCGTGTGTGTGTATATATAATATATATGTATGTATCTATAAATCTCTATGTATATATATGTATGTATGTATCTATGTATGCATATATGTATGTATATATTTGTATGTATGTAACTCTTGATTTGGATAAAAAAACAAAAGCGACAACACTATCTTTAAGATGGACATTAAAAAAGTTTATGATACTCTAATATGAAATTCATTTTTGAGGTAATAAAGCCAAAGGTCTTAATCATGCATCATGTTGTCTCATTAAGAGGATTCCGAAGAACAATTACTATTATATTCTCATTAACAACAATAAATATGGCTTTTTCAAATCTTCTATGGGGATTAAACAAGGAGATCGTCTTTCTCCTTTTATTTTCATGATCGGTTGATTACCGTTCTAGATATCTTAACAAACTCTTAAATACTTACCCTAGCATGCATTATGCCGATAAAGGGAAGTCTGCGATTAATAACCTTGCATATGCTGACGATCTTATTATCTTTACCGATGTTAATAAAGGTTCTATTAAAAAGTTGTGGAAGGACTTAGAACAATTTCAGGTTGTCTTTAGGTAAATGTTTAATCCTACTAAATGCAATTTTTATTGTTTCAATTGAATTTCTATTAAGAAGAAAAACTGAATTCAAGACTTGTTGTGCCAAAGGGGATCTTCCTCCTGTCTATTTGGGCTTTAACCTTGATAAAGGTAGGCAAAAGAAACATCTATTTGACAATATTATTGATAAAATCAATAAGAGGATTATGTCCCGATACAACCTTCTTTTATCTTTTGGTGGCAAAATTACTCTATTAAAGAGTGCTGTTAATTCCCCTCTATACTTTATTTTTATGAAGATGCCTTTTAATATTTTTAAAAGGTTGGAGAATATCTTTAATAAATTTTTGTGGGCTGGCAAGGATCATAAGATCCAATGGATAAGATGGTTTAAAATGTGTAAGCTTATTAACTGATTCTATGAAGACCAATTTCATGAAACTCTAGGTGCATTTCAGAGAAGGTAACAGTATTATGAGAAAAAAAAGGATTGT